CCCACACCGGGGCGCCAGCACGCAATGGACGACGGTGCGCAAGCTAAAGGCTACATGGGAAGAGGTGCTGTACAGCCACGTGGGGTCATTGAAGGTGGATTTCCTAAACTACCTGCTAGACATGCACACACTCAGGAGCGAGATGCCAGCCTGCTGAAGGTCCATCCAGAAACATCTACAGTCATCATGAGCAGTCACACGCAGCAAGACCATCCAGTCATGTTCAGCAACCTGCTCAGCCACATGCAGATGTTTCACCCGGAGCCAATGAGTCTCATTCATCAGCTACAGCAGATTTGGCCAAGTATTGAATACGTCGGGAAATGGTTAGCTCCGGGCTATTACAGTTTGATGACCAGCCGGAAAACTATTGGGCCTGGAAAGCATCATTCCTCAGTTCCACAGAGGGCTTGAACCTGTCATCAAGAGAAGAGCTCGACCTCCTGTGTAAATGGCTTGGACCGAAATCCTTTGAACATGCAAAGAGAATCAGATCGGTTCACATCCATAATGCGGAAGCAGGTGTCAATATGCTATGGCAAAGGTTGGAAGATTGTTATGGGTCACCTGAAGCAATAGAAAATGCACTCCTCAAAAAAGTCGATGATTTCCCAAAAATCAACAACAGAGAAAATCAAAAGTTAAGGGAGCTGGGAGACATTCTTCTGGAGCTTGAAGCCGCCAAGACAGATGGATTTCTATCTGGTCTGAGCTACCTAGACACATCCCGTGGCATCACTCCCATCGTCCAAAAGCTGCCATATTCCCTGCATGACAAGTGGGTCTCTCTAGCATCACGTTACAAAGAAACACACAGAGTATCGTATCCACCATTCTTTATCTTTGCAAAGTATGTTTGTGACCAGGCCAAGATACTCAATGATCCAAGCTTTGCCCAGCTCACAGGTGGTCCGAGTATAAGCAAGATTGAGGAGCCTTTCAAACCCAACATGAGAGCGCCAGTCTCTGTAAGGAGGACAGAGGTCTCAGCAAACTTTGATAACAGCTATGAAAGCTCAGCAGCAAAAAGAGCTGTCAACCCAGATAAGCAATGTCCACTCCACCACAAACCACACCCTCTCAGGAATTGCCATGGTTTCAGGTATACATCTCTGGATGAGAGAAAAGCCTATCTTAAGGATTCAAACATTTGCTTTAGGTGCTGTGCATCAACCAGCCACCAAACCAAAGACTGTGACAAAAAGGTTCAGTGCAGAGAGTGCAACAGTGACTGCCACCCTACTGCACTAAATCCAGGACCGGCTCCATGGACAACAGGGGCCGCCGTAACCTCAAGATATCAAGGCGGGGAGCAAGACGAATCTCCTCCTTTCGCTGTCACGTCAAAATGCACTGACATCTGTGGGACTGAAGTAAAGCCAAGATCATGCACCAAGATTTGTTTAGTCAGATTGTATCCAGCAGGCCAGAGAGAGAGAGCTGTCAAAATGTATGTTGTCCTAGATGAGCAGAGCAATAAGTCCTTGGCAAAAACAAAGTTTTTTGAACTCTTTGACGTTAATGATGACACAGCATCCTATACACTGAAGACATGTTCAAGAGTCTTTAAAACCTCAGGGCGACGAGCAAACAAATAATGGAGGCATTGGATGGCAAAACGTGTATTTCATTTCCCACTCTAATCGAATGTGATATGGTCCCAGATGACAAATCTGAAATTCCCACGCCTGAGATCGCAAAACACTACACACATCTCAACCGGGTTGAGGACAAGATCCCTGCACTAGATTCTACGGCAGACATTCTCATACTGCTTGGCCGAGATATACCACAGGCACATAAAGTTCGGGAGCTGTGCAATGGACCCCACAACGCCCCATATGCTCAACGCCTCGACCTAGGTTGGATGATCATAGGAGAAGTCTGTCTTGGAAAAGCCCACAAATTAGATAGCGTCAATGTCTACAGGACAAACGTGCTGAGTAATGGACGTACATCTCTTTTTGACCCTTGCATTAACAATCTGCACATCAAAGAGCGAGTGGACACTCCAACTCTCCAACACCCTGTCCTGCCGGGGGTCCTGCCAACCCTATGTCCTGTTCCGTCGGGTGTCCTGCAAACTCCTGTCCCGTCGGGGGTCCTGCCTACACATGTCCCTCCGACACGGGTTACTGTCCCGCCGACAACGGTTATGGTCACGCCTACTCCGAAACCTCTCCCGTCCGGGGTCTTACCGTCTCCCGATCCCAGTACTCCTGCACCTCCGGCGATCCAGCGGACTCTGGAGGGGTCCCATCGCGGCCTACGCCACCCTCCTGCTCGTCCTCCGGAGCTGTCCCACATTGGCGACAAGAATACCTTGCAACACTACAACCAAGAAGAAAATGGCAAGCAGATAAGCCTCTTTGCAAATCGGAGACGTTGTGCTTCTGAAGGACGGACAGGTCAAAAGGAACTACTGGACTTATAGTAAATACCTTTCCTGGTCAAGACAACAGGGTCCGTAAAGTGGAAGTACGGGTGATTAAAGAAGGTTCTCCCAGGGTGTATTCAAGTCTCTGAAGTTGTTCTCCTTCTCAAAAGGGACTTAGTGGTACATTATACCAAGCGGGGAGTGTGCTGCCCCTTTAAGAGGGCCTGCAAAGGGTTTTGGGTGTTGCACTGGGTGTCCATAAATGCTTGCCGTAGTTTCCTGTTTCTGTCTGTCTATGGAGCACATGGGTTGTTTCCTGCCAACTAAATCCTTGCTCAAATCCTAGGGTCTTTATGTCTGTAAGTACCATTCCATATATTGTCCGTGTATACTTAGTTGCACATTTAAATTGATTATATGCAAACATGAAGAACAATGAATGATGCTAAACTTGTTAGCCTGTGAACAGCAGTGGAAATGTTTGTAGCATTTATGCTAACAGGTACTCTGTTGTTTGGAATGTTTGTTTTAGTCTTGTTTCTTGTTTATTTAGTAGGGATGCACGATATTGGTTTTTTGAAACCGATACCGATACCGATAACTTCCTGCTTCTCAAGACCGATACCGATAACCGATAATAATATAATATATATATATATATTAAATGTACCTGTAGTTTTTGCACACCTGGTGGTAAAAAAAGACTAGTAGTGAGCAAATGACATGAGCATTACTACTATGAACAAAACAAAGCCAAGAACAGTTTTGACTCTCGTCAAGCGCCATCATTTCTATGATGAAGTTAGAGATCGTTTTAGCCCTGGGGTCGTCTCTGGCAAACTTCTTGCCTTTTTCGAAAGCCTCGTCGATAGGTAAAAGCCCCGGTGCCTTTGCAGCTGGCTTTGGATTCGCCGCTAGTTTAGCAGCGCAGGCGTCTTCGTACGCTTTTAACACACCATCGTAGCGATGGCGATGTTTCAGGTGACTAATCAGGTTGGAAGTATTATAGCTCGTTGCCTTTTTCCCTCCTCGTGGAACTTCTGCATTGCATTTGTTAATACAAATAGCAAGCGAACTATCTAACTCTGAAACTTTGAAATAGTCCCATACTACCGGCGACATGTTTGTTTACTGTCCTGGCTTCACGGCCGCACACCATTTACGTCACAGCCAGGCATGAGTTATGGAGCGCTGGATTTGTGAAAAACTCCCCTCTTCCTAAACCACTAATACCACAGTACTGGCAAAACGGGAGGAGCCGAGTGAAAAACAAGCGTCCCTCATCCCAATCCACCCACACCGCAGTATTTTTTTCTTTTTTTTTACCCAAAATATATATTGTATATTATCGGGGCTATTAATACTGTTATCGGGTTTATCGGGATGACGTCATAATTCCTAATATCGGACCGATAATTATCGGCCGATAATTATCGTGCACCACTATTATTTAGTGTTTAATGTGACAACGTCTTATGACTTTGGGTTTTGTTTGTATTTCAGTTTTACAAAATGGAAATGAAAATGGAACTTAATCAGTAAACATCCAAAACTGAGCTGCTGTCTCCTGGGTGTTTATTTCCGTGTTAAGCTATCTGCCAAGCCTGCAATCCGAAAAGTATTCTTGCGAGGGCAGAATAAGCCCAATTGCTTTTACAATAAATAAACATTGAATGTGTTTAATTGAATAGTAAAGGGGTTTAACGTTAGTGGCAGGTTGTGTGTGAGAGAGAATAAATAAATAAGACAGCCCAATATTTATTTTTCCCGCATATTTCGCAACTTTCCGCATCTTCCCGCAATTTCACCGCATAAAATCACATAAAACCCTGCATGTTTGATCGCATAATCAAGGATTTTTATATTAAATGTATAGCATTTTTATTAAATGTATAGCATCTGTATTTACTTTACTCAGGGTCACAGTGAGGAAACCAGTTATATTTGGAAACTTTGACATCTCTAACACAATTATCTGTCAACATTGAGCATTTATTAATGAAAGCAACATGTTACAAAAAAAGATACACATGTCTCAGATTAAAATGAGTCCTATCAGTTCATGAGAGAAACTATAGCTTCATAATAAATGCTGCTGGAAGCTCCCTGCACTTCTTGTTTTAAGATGTCGAAAAGTTCATTAAACATATGCTTAAAGGAATTTCAACAAAGTTGTGCTGGAGTTTGTGTTATTCTACATTTTGACACCAATATTTTCTGATTTTACTGCAAATGTATATTGGTTCCAAATATCGGTTATCGGTCTCCTTGATTACTAATAATCTGAATCAGTATCGGCCTTGAAAAAGCCATATCGGTCGATCCCTAGTTTTAATACCGTTTTTGACAGAGTTGTTATACTGTTTTTAATGATATATTGATACTGTTTTTAATAATGTATTGATACTGTTTTTAATACTATATTGATATCGTGTTTAATACTATTTTAATACCGTTTTGAATAGTGTATTGAAGTTGTTTTTATACTGTTTTAAATACTATATTAATACTGTTTACATACCGTTTTTAAGAATCTATTTTACACCCTTTTAATACTGTTTTTTACCCCTAGCAGAAGCAGCTAGCTCCCGTTAGCTCCCGTTAGCTCCTGATGCTAACTCACCTGAACGAAGGTTGTTTTCCCGGATCCCGCCATCCCCAGCACAATCAGACACACCTGTTTGTCCAGGGCAACAGCCCCCGGTGTCCCAGTGTCTCCTGAGGCCGCTAAACCCTCCTGGTTCTCCGGTAAATCCTCCGGAGCTGCGGAGCCGGAGGCCATGATGTCTGATGTTGTGGTGAACTAACGTAAAGAAACTAGTACTGTCGCAAAATGTGAGGTGGTGACACGATGTATTTAAGAGAGCTCAGACCCTCACTTGTCGGAACCAGAGTTCCCGTTAGCCGGTAATTACCGGACTACGACCGACCAAAATATGCTGTAGACCGGCACATCTAAATCTCTCCGGTCAAAGCGTCCGGTCAAAATATATTTCCCCTTTGCGCAACACCGCATCAGTTGCGCAACTTGCGCCACTTATGTGACAGACAAAAGAGTATGTGACAGACAAGAATAGTCAATTATAATGTCTAACACTTAATGTGGAGAAAGAGATGTCCTGTATGGGTTGATTGCGCGTTGATCTGTTGGTAATGCCTCGGGGTTCCGGTGGGCATGTAAACAAATGCATAATGCTGCTGCGCTATACTTTGTGGCCTCACCCGGTTGCATAGCGACGGTTATTGTTTAGGTGTCTTTTAATAAGCAGGTAGTCCTATCATTAGCTAGAACTAGCTAGATCTGATCGATATGGACATAAACGCGAGTGAAGTCTAATCTGACGGGAGAGAGAGATCAGCTGCTGCTGACGAGTCGACAGCAGCACTGCATGATCACATGCAGTGGTGAGCGGACAAAACACGCACTTCAGGTTAGAATATCACACGTAGCTATTTGAATTACCTCTCAAACTACCTAAACTAGTTATAGATATGTTTAGTTCTACTGTCGGGTCACTCATTACTGATCCGCGAGCTGCATGATACTGACGTGCTGTCAGGAGAGGGAGCTCCGTTTATTATTCACGTGTTATTGTAAATTACTGAACACTTTTGAATAATGTAGTTTATCTACTATAATTAGTTTGTTTAATATCGAATCATATCAATTTGTTTTAAAGCTCAATAAATAACAAAGAATACCTTTGACCGGCACTTTTGAAATTGTGTTCGGAAGATTTAAAGAGCCTGTAACACGAGTTTCCCCCATCATCCAAACCCATCAATTTGAGTAAATATTGTCCCCTTGAAAACTGTTACTGAACTGATTTTGGATATTTGTACTTTGATAACCATTAATCTGCCCTTCAATGTTGACAATTTCCTGGATCTTCTCTGTGATTCTTCAAGTCCCGCCAAATTACGTGTGACGTCATTGCGGGCACAGCGCTCCAGCTGCACCGTTCAGGATCCCAGCATCTGCATGTAAACGCACGATGGTGCACACAGCAGCAAGCTCAGACAGCTCAGACAGTTTCATTTTGAACGTGTCTGAGAGCTCATATGAGGCTGAAGGATCGCTTTATGTTGTATCTGTTAGAAGTTTAGGAATTAGGTGCGTCAATATGGGCGATCATACGGTCATGTAGCCAGTGGTGGAATGGGACTAAAAATCATCCCGGTGTTGTGTCACATTATGCCTCCCCGTCATGAAATGCCCCCCTTGTCACGGGAACGCGCATTTCTAAATGACACGTTAACACCATAGGGTTACACCTTAAAACGATGTTTAAAACGAAAAGTAAACGTTCAGGGTTTTTATTAATGGTAATTTTCAGACTGAGTTGTTTAGTGGTAGCTCATAGTCTTGATTCTTCTGGTATTTTATGACAGGCCTAGCCATCACAATATGCCCCCCCCCCCCTTGCTATCTTACAAAAATAAAAGTGTGACATTCATGAAACTTGCTCCATTTATTGGTACCAGTCCTAGAACCATACCCAGATAAATCAACCAGCGCAATGAAGGTCAAGCAGCTGTTATTGACAGCTACGCTATGACCGCCATCTGGAAACATACATTTGGAAGAATCCGGGTATGTACATGATTGGAATGACTTTGCTTTTGTAAATGTTGCAAATGTGCATTTTTCAACAGGAATGTAATACTTTTGCAACTACTCTCAGGTTGATCCAATGGCACACACAGTCATCGTGGGAATTGTGAACGAGAACCATCACTGGATGTTGGTGGTGAGAATAGGAGCATATTTTAAGCTCCAATCTGTATCTATAGTGCTGTATACACCATATATAATTAGTGATTTGCAAGATAACCGGGCCACACATACATGCTGTCACTTATTATTGATCAAATCTAAACAATACCCTACATCGTACCTGCGTAATGTATGGTTCCTGCCTAATGCATGTTGTGTTTCCATGTGAATAATAAAAGGTAATGTACCCCCATGAGAAGAAAACCCTCTTCTTGGATCCACTTGGAGAAGGGAAAGGCAAAACGAAGGTGTGCCTGCAGTCTACAAGGTACATTTGATACAGTGTACTAGTTCCGGTGTTTTATGAGTATTTTGACAATGATGTGCTGCATCTTGACACATGTACTATCTACATACTGTAGAGCCTTTACGAGGATGAAAGGCTGCAAGGTGTCAAGATGGACATGCAGCACCCTCCCCCATAATCGCCAACAAGACAGCACATCCTGTGGTGTCCTGGCCTTAAAAGTGAGTGTGAAATGCATTTAGCCAAACATTACTCTCAAACTCAAATTCAGTAGCAATTAGACTGAATATCTTGACTTGCTTTTATACATCTTGATCAAAGATGTATTGAATTGTGTCAAACTACACATATACAACATGTAATTCTTTAAATCTGTTGGGTCATTTGTCTGTATTCCATTTGAGGGTAAAATCATAGACCATGCAGTCCATATACTAATCAAGGTTCTCTTCAGTTTGCAGAGAACATTTTACTGGGGGAGGCAATTGAGTTTGAAACCTCACAGTAGGCAGTGCACGAGCTGAGGCTGGACATTGCTACTTCTCTCCTCAGAGAATCTGGTTTGTTACCTTTTCTCAACATTATCAATGACTTCATGTAGTTACTTTTATTAATTGTATCTCATAAGTATGCATCAATAACCTAGTATATTAATAATGTGCCATGCAAATTGTTGTATTGTATCACTGCTTGGACCATTGGTACTGTTGGGTTAATATTGACCAGGGAAATTATCAGGGTTTTAAAAGCAACACAGTGGCTTAAGTATAGATTAGGGTAAATAGTCACTACATACAGTATATTGTGTATCTCAACTCCAAACAGATAATATATGAAGCATCGCAGGCAGGCATCTTCAACTGCAATTTCATATAGGTTACACACATCACACTCTAACACACCCTTTCAATTCTGCGGTTTATTTAAGATGTGAGATTTCCCCATCTTCCTCCTTTCAATGTGCTCATTGGTGTGTATTACTTTTAACTGATATCCTCAGTTAATTTTTACCTTGAACTTATTATAATCAAAGCTGTAAAGCTAATACATGTGATGAACAACAAAATAACCATGAGAACCAAACTTAAATTGATGCATACAGTGCGAAAGAAGTTTTTGGATGTTTTGTAATGACATTGTGCAGGTTCCCATTCTAAAGAGGGTAAGGAGAGAGTGAAAGAAGGAGCAGATGGCTCCTCTGTGCTCAGATTTAATCATTTAGAAAATCTATGTGTTTGTGTGTGTTTTGCCTTTTCTTCACACAAAATAATAAAAGACCACAACAAATGTGTCCTTATATAATTGACCTTTTAGTCAAAAATTGGAATGGGTCACCTTGACCCCAAATCTGCAATGTGGTTTATCTGAAGATATTGATTACGTTTTGTCTCAACAGATGATCTAAGCAGGCTTTGCTTTTACTGTGGGATGGAGGAGCAGGATGAAGAACATTGGGTAATTTCCTATTGCACATTACAAATAAAGAAAATTAGCAGAAATATGTTTCCAGACTTTATCAACATAACATTTGCGTTGGTAATTGCTACTATATTTGGCATCTTCAGCATTAACTGATAAAGGATGAATGTTTTGCTTGTTTTTCCATACATTTTTGTTGAAAATGGATTTCTTTCTCATAACACAACATTTATGTTTTTGAAAGATTTCGATTATTGAAGGAATGGTTAGAATGTTAGTGGGAAATACATTAGAGATATTCTATTATCATAACAAAATCCCATAATGCATACCTTACATAACAAGTATTTATTGTTTTCTCAGATTTGCTGTGACATTTGTCAGCAGTGTACCACCACCAATGTGTACAAAGGCCTCCAGTTGATCAACCGTACTTGTGCCCTGGATGCACATAATGCCCCGAAGGAACCATCATTAACTGTCCACTGTCATTTCAACCAATGCAACTATTGTTTGGCCTGTCATAAAATGCACCCCACCCCAAAAGAGGTTTCTATGAATCCCACCGTCAAGCATTTTTCAGGGTATGGTTCTAGGACTGGTACCAATAAATAGAGCAAGTTTCATGAATGTGACACTTTTATGTTGTAAGATAGCAAGGGGGGGGGGGGGCATATTGTGATGGCCAGGCCTGTCATAAAATGCCCCCCCACCAAAAGAGGTTTCTATGAATCCCACCCTCAAGCATTTTTCAGGGTATGGTTCTAGGACTGGTACCAATAAATGGAGCAAGTTTCATGAATGTCACACTTTTATTTTGTAAGATAAGGGGGGGCATATTATGATGGCCAGGCCTGTCATATAATTCCCCCCCCACCAAAAGAGGTTTCTATGAATCCCACCCTCAAGCATTTTTCAGGGTATGGTTCTAGGACTGGTACCAATAAATGGAGCAAGTTTCATGAATGTGACACTTTTATTTTGTAAGATAGCAAGGGGGGGCATATTGTGATGGCTAGGCCTGTCATAAAATTCCCCCCCCCCCCAAAAAAAAAGAGGTTTCTATGAATCCCACCCTCAAGCATTTTTCAGGGTATGGTTCTAGGACTGGTACCAATAAATGGAGCAAGATTCATGAATGTCACACTTTTATTTTGTAAGATAGCAAGGGGGGGCATATTGTGATGGCTAGGCCTGTCATAAAATGCCCCCCCCCCCCCAAAAAAAAGAGGTTTCTATGAATCCCACCCTCAAGCATTTTTCAGGGTATGGTTCTAGGACTGGTACCAATAAATGGAGCAAGTTTCATGAATGTCACACTTTTATTTTGTACGCATAGCATATATGCTGACAAAGACTATGTAACATTTGTAAACATATTTTGATTATTAGATGACAACTAGGTAAAATTAAACAATACATTTTAAAGCACGTTTATACAGACAGGACGTAACAATAATGATAAAAAAAAAACATTTAAAAAAACAAACTGAAAAGGAAGTGACGAACGAATTTCGACACCTCAAATACGGAGCGAAAAGTTAAACCAGAAGAATCAAGACTATGAGCTACCACTAAACAACTCACAGTCTGAAAATTACCATTAATAAAAACCCTGAACGTTTACTTTTCGTTTTAAACATCGTTTTAAGGTGTAACCCTATGGTGTTAACGTGTCATTTAGAGGTGTAAACGTGTCATTTAAGAAATGCGCGTTCCCGTGACAAGGGGGGCATTTCATGACGGGGAGGCATAATGTGACACAACACCGGCACAAACAAACGATTTTTAATCATCATTCTCACGATCATTTAATGTATCATATGTTCGCCGAATTGACATGAAAGCACTAATACATGTAGTTTCATCCACTTGAGTTTACAACTACAAAAATAATCGATTTGTTTTTATATCACATCCTACGGGAGGAAATTCAGTAGCTCTCACTACCGATTTGTAATCCTAATGTAATCATCATCTTCACCACGATCATTTATGTTTATGTAAGCCGAATTGACATGAAAGCACTGACAAATATGAATATACTGTAGTCAACTTAATTAAAAACGTTATTAACGTGCCTAAACTCAGTAATTCACCATTTCTACGCATGACAACACACTTTGTCCGTGTTTGGCTCTCTCGCCGCACAGTGAAGCGTTCCCGCATTGAGGTCACTTCCGGCTTCCCCCAAAACTTCAAAATGAGTCGAAGGAATTTCCCCGCGATGTTCGAAATTATTGATATTTAACGGAACGGTATCGCTTTTTCTTTTTTAAACTGACGGTTCGAGATGACTATTAGCCCAATATTTCATTGCACAACAGTTGTTGGGATGCTGTCACAGGCTCTTTAAACTTTAACGGACATGTTGACCGGCGAAAAAATATTCTAACGGGAACTCTGGTCGGAACATGTCAAAAGTATAAATAAATAAAAGCATAAATAAATGGAGGAATACAAAAATAAATAAATGAATTAATACAGGACTAAATATATTTAGTGTTTTTTTCAGAAAGGTTTAGTGTAGGCCTACGTGCTGTGGCTCAGCCTGAAAGCAGTTGACTGCAGGGTCCCTGGTTCAACGACTGGTCAATACGTCTTTTGTTTTTGTTTATAAAAGCTACAGCTAAATGAGATAATGTAGTTAATAAAAGTATTCTTTGATATGGTTTAGCCTTTCTCAGGCTACAACATGGTTAAGTTACGAATATTATTAAGGAATACAAATCCCTCTTTGCAATGTTTAGCAGCCTCTAGGCTTTTCAATCACAATCATTAAACTGGAATAAATACAATATTGTTAACATGAAAATATGATTTTATGTTCGTTGTTTCGAGTTATTCTAAGGCTTTACTCATTGGGAACTCGGTATGAGATAGAGCACACTGTCGAGATGTCCAATCTGCCTGTTTTACACACTTTGACCAACAGGGGGGGTTTGTGTTCAAATGAAGCCCATTATGAAGCCTCATGAGATGAACCCTTTTGCGAACCAATTGGCTGGAAAGCTTCAAAGCTTCATCTCGCCATCACTAGCTATAATGCTATTGTAGCCGGCGCTACTGTTTTCTGAGGATTAGCTGTCAGATCATTTCTTCACGTGGCTGGGCCGCCACTGGCCCTTTAAGACACCCCCCCCCCTTCTTTCGTCAGCTGGCCCTTCCATATAAGGAAAACGTGCAGCTGTACGTAGTTCAGCATCTCCCGCTACACTTTAAATGTCCACTCACTCCTCACCCAAATCAGCTGTGACTATTACGAGTGTTCTTGTTCCAGTTATCGTTGTCTGGCTGATAGGCGTGTATTCCCCCTATACGAGGTATGTGAAGCTGCTGTTAGGACTTGTACCATTCAGTGTAGGCCTACCACTAAATTGTTAACATGTGGCCTGTAAATGCCAGGCTTCTTGACAGCCCCAGCAGAGACTGTGCAGAGAATCACCGTTGCAGAGGTGTCCAGTGAGGTGATAATTGAGTGAATGCGTTTGCATCAGAGGTAGGAGATTAATTGTATGTACTGAAGGACATTCATATAAATCTTTATACCATTTCTAATCTCCTTTCTCCATTTATTTTAGGATTAGTTTGCTACCGTTTTGCCTACCTTCTATGTTTTGCTTATTGACTAGTTTGTTGTATTGTGTACAAACTAGTGATTTAAATCTTTAAAGCGACGGCACCCTCCTTGTAACGACCCACTCTGTCCCACAAGGTCTAATACTGTCTCTGTGCTTATACTTCTTCAGTGACGATCCTGGCCTGTGGAGTGGAGCATGTGGTTTGCTGGGCACTTTTTGCATGCAGATATGGTTGATTTGTAGTGAGTGTTTGATTGAATACAGCTACACGTGGTGATATTGTGGTTTTGGGGAAACCCTCAGCAGTTGGCCAGAAGAAGCACTTTTTTAACTATCATTATGTGTGATATTGTAATTATTATAGTTATTCTCTCCTTGTCAGAGCCAGCCTTCAATCGTGGGACTTAGGTGTGTCGACTGGGAAAGCTGAATAGCCTACGTTTTAATCTGCATTTTGTACTACTGAACTTTTACTTGA